GGTAGAGAGAGAGAGAGAGAGAGAGAGAAATAGTGATGAAAAAAGGGATATTTTTTTTCTTCAATGAAAGGGATTTCTCCTTTCCTATTTCTATCACTCTTTTTGTTTTATTTTTCCATCTTTCTCACCTTCGGTCTCTTTGGAAAATGGCAGTGCGCAGGGTAGAAAAATATCTTGGGAAAGGAAGGAAGAAGAATATTCTACTCTTACATTAATCTCTATTTCGCTTTTCACATCATCCACCAATTGATACGACAAACGGCTCGTCCACTCTCGACTATATCTAGGAATCGCTGTTTTTCCACGATGTGAGGAATGTTGTATTTCATGTTCTACTACTTCGCTTATCTAAGGTTTTTGCTTTCTTTTCTTTCCCTGTTTCAGTCAATTTCGGGATTACATTGGAGTGGCGGGCGGTTGGGTGGGGGGTAGGCTGAGGTGGGGGTGTTGAGGAGTGGGAAGCAGGCAAGAATAAGGGGCGGCGCGTATTCGTTCATATACCCGTCCATAAATGACTGCACGTACGCCTGCGGGGGTCATGTAACTTATTCTCCCTTCTGTTTGTTTCTTGCTTTTCGCTTGTTCAAGACCTCTGAAGCGGCAAGTGGGGACGGAGGGACTGGCGGGCGGTGTCGTGATGACTTTGTATTGATTTATCTTTTCATATATATATATGCCGTACTTTTTGTGAGCGCCGGCGCATGAGTGTGGTTTGCTGCCGTTATATCATACTCCCCAGTGCCTCGTCCGGTCCATTCCGAGGTTGCGAGAATACTGATGCTAACGGTATCGCTCTTGGCTGGATTTTTTGCGCCTGGGACGGCACAATGCTGCAGACGCAGGTAACTCGCTATCGCAGAAGTGGGGACACGGGGGGGGTTAGAGGTGGTTGCGTTGGCTGGGGAGACCTCGGAAAGATGCGGTGCGCGCTAGGTATGAGTGCGAGTGCGTTTTTATGATTAGAGCCCCGTTCCGACGCTGGGGATTTGAGCGTCCTACGATCCTCCGGCCTACTATATTCACGGCGCTGCGCGGTACGGGTGGTGGGTAGTGGCAGGTCTTCGCGGTTGGGTTTATTTTATTTTATTTTATCTCATCTTATTTTGTTGTTATTTTTTCTGTGCGGGTGAATACCGTGGCTGGAGGGGGTTCCCCTTCTTTCCCCTACATACCGGTATTTGTGATTTCCGAATGCGAGCATGGTATCGTTATTTGGCGTGCTGGTTAGCTTTCTTTCTTTCTTGTGCCTGTTTTCCTCTGTTGGCTGGAGTAGTAGTAGGCTTAGTACTGCTGGTACTGGGCTGTGTGTGCGTGGGGGGGGTGTCTCGTTGGTTTGTGAATTGTGTGATGTATCGTTGGGGTATTTGTCCTGTGGGATGATGATCTTTGATGTTCCTTGGTGGTATGATATCATTTATTGCTCGAGTGGTTGGTTTCCCTTTTCTTGGATGGGATATAGGGAGGTTGACTGTGGGATCATGAAACGAAAAGGCTTCACCATGGGGAGTAACCCTCCCCCCTCTGTGCTTCTTAATAGTAATGTATGACATGGGCTTTGGCTTACCGGGTGAGGTGATTTTGGCAACCTCTTCCGAGTCTGGGGCGGGCGTGATGTAGATGCCTGCAGGGGTCACGACCAAAGTTCAGTATCCTATCATACAAACCCAACTTTTGTCATTACCAATACCACTATTGTACAGCCAAACACTCTACGTCACCAGAATCTCCTTCCCCCCTTCAACCGCCTTCTCAACCTCTTCTTCAATTATCTCGTTCAAATTATCCCAATTCGTCTACCCTCCCGCCATTCATTAGCCTCCCGTCCCACCCTCACCAAGAGGAAGGAAAAAAAGAAAAAAGGAAAAACCTACACTTCTTCCCTTGACGACCCCACCCTTCCGGGCGCTAGCCTCTCGCTTCCTCTCCAATTTCTCGAGTGCCGCACCGGCTTTACCTACCGCAGCCTCCTTCCTCCTGCGCTTCTGTCTGGAAAGCGCTTTCCCCCCCTTGCGCTTCTGCACCCCGCCGCTACCCGCTGTGCGGGCGGATAGTGCGGCGAGTTTTTCGCTGGTGGGTTTTTCGTCGGGACGCGGGAGTGGGATTGTGACTGGGGGTGATGAAGCACGCTTTGCGGCGCGGGACTTTGGTTTGGGGGTTTTGGCCATATTGTAGTTTGTGGTGGGTTCGTGGTGGAAGGGAGAAGTGGTCGGTGGGATGTTATTGGGTAATGGTGAAGAAGCTTTTGACTGTGGTGGCTGTGGTGGCTGTGGTGATAGTGGGGAGAGACGGTAGGGTAACTTGGGATCGTTTTTTTACTGGGGTGGTGGTTGATACTGTACGGCACTGGGGGTACTTTGCTATGGTAATAGTCTACGCCGTGCTCGCGAATCTAAGCACAGTGCTGGCGCGAGTAGGGTGGGGTTCTGTCTTTGCCGTACGGTAGGAGTTTTGCCCGTCCTGACCATCTATTCATCCAGAGGATCATCCCGATGGGGTACCCGTAAGTGGGTATTCGACTGTCTTTCCAATTGGGGCGGCGTGACACATTGAACGGCGACCCTCAATATGAGGGAAGCGGGCTTATTTTTGTCAATTCTATTGCGGGGCTCAGTTGCTCCGGCACCATATCATATCATACGCTCTTCGACTACCGTGTTGTATTCGGGTGCCGATACTAGTATTGTGAAAGCGCTCGCTACGATACTACTGTAGACTATCGTATCATATAATACTAACTTAGCGGGCAAACAGCCTTATGCATTCGTGCCCTGAAACAAGGCTATGAAAGGGAAAATCGTCAGGAGGTTATCAGTGGTACGATAGGGCAAGTTGGTAAGCTATCAAATCATATCATACTATGATACCGGTATCGTTGCTCGCAACCCCACCTCATCCCTCCATCTCTTTTCCTCAACCCTTCTCACCCCGCCTCATCCATCCCTCACCCTCACCTCCGCCTGGTTTCTTGCGCTCCGGGATTTCCCCCTTCTTTATGCTCTGATTTCTTTCTCCACTCACTGCCCAACCGCACTGAACTTTGGTTTCATATTAATAACCGAGTCTTGTAAGAAACAAAAACCCTACCAGTTAAGGTTCTCCGGACGGTTTGCTTGCTGCTCTTCCGGAATACAGGCTGAACAAACGACTAGCAAGCACGCCGAAATGTCCGAGGAATCCAAACCCGAAGGCTCGAAGAAGGGAGGAGGAAAGGGAAAGGGAAAGGCCGGGGGGGAGGGGGGAGAAATGAACAACATTTCTGGTGCACTGGTCGAGCAGCTGCTCAACGCGAACCCGAGCCTTGCTGGGGAGATGCAGGGAATGGACCCGAAGAAGATCGAGGAGATGATGAGAGGGATGAACTTGCAGGATATACTTACCGGGATGGTATGTTTGCTGCTTTCCCAATGGCTTCAAGTCAGAGGAGGAGGGGACAGTTGCTAATTACAACCTGTGGGTGGGGTGTGTAGGCTGCCGGCGGGAAGAACCAGAAGGATATGGCTTCTTACAAGTTTTGGAATACACAGCCAGTTCCAAAGTTTGGTTTGTTTTTCTATCGCTGTCCTTAGTGGTGGGAGTTGGAGGCGCTGATTGGGAGTTGTAGGTGAGGACGAACCGTTGTCGGATGGACCGTTAAGGGAGAATGATCTTTCAAGGGTCAAGACTGTGGGTGCTGAATTGATTGAGGGATTCGAGTGGGATACTGTCGATCTTACGGATGACCAACAGGTTTTTCCCCTTTCTACTGAGGTCTGTTTGGGGTGGCTCTTATGAGGGGATAGGTCCGGGAGGTCTACGAGTTACTCAGCAATCATTACGTTGAGGATAGCGAGGCCATGTTCCGATTCAACTACTCTGCATCGTTTCTGCATTGGGCACTGAAGGCTCCGGGTTGGATCAAGAACTGGCATGTCGGTGTGCGTGTAACGGGTACGAAGAAACTTGTAGCGTTCATATCCGGTATCCCTGTCACCTTGAGGGTCCGGGAGAACTCCCTCCGGTGCTCGGAAATCAATTTCCTATGCATTCACAAGAAGCTTAGGGGCAAGCGACTTGCACCTGTGTTGATCAAGGAGGTCACTCGAAGGTGCAATCTTGAGAGTGTATGGAATGCTATCTATACCGCCGGTGTTGTGCTCCCAAAGCCGATCAGTACCTGCAGATACTTCCATCGCAGTTTGGATTGGCTCAAGTTGTACGAGACTGGGTTTTCTCCTCTCCCTGCCACTAGTACGAAGGCGAAGCAGGTTACTAAGTATGCTTTACCTGCGAATACATCAACTAAAGGTTTGAGGGAGATGGAGGCGAAGGATTCAGACGCTGTGCACGATTTGCTCACGAGGTATATGGAGAGGTTTGACCTAGCTCCCAAATTCACAGTTGAGGATATTGGGCATTGGCTATTGAACGGTGGGTCAAAGTATGAGGAAAGGATTGTTTGGACCTATGTCGTTGAGGTGGGGATCTTTCCCGCTGATTTCTTGATGGGAGCTTAGCTGACTGTTCTGCAGGAGGAAGGGAAAATCACCGATTTTTTCTCCTTTTATTCGCTTGAGTCCTCCGTCATTGGGAAGGAGGAGACTATTCGTGCTGCGTACCTGTTTTATTATGCCTCTGAGACTGCTTTCAGCAAGTCTCCGGATGCAAAGAAAGAGCTTAAGGTCCGCTTGAATGCACTGATGCACGACGCTCTTATCCTGGCTAAGAAGGTTCAGCTTTTTTTTCTTCTTTCATTAAATGTGGATTCTGCTAATATGCGAGTAGTTTAATTTTGATGTCTTCAATGCTCTCACCCTGCTCGATAATACCCTCTTCCTTGAAGAGCAAAAGTTTGGAGCCGGCGATGGATCATTGCATTACTATCTATTCAACTGGAGAACCTCTTTCATCAATGGAGGAATTGATGATGAGAAGAATATCGACCAGGACAAAGGTAGTGGTGTCGGTGTTGTTATGCTGTAATCCTTTTTTATGTTGATCTGCATACGGATTCTCTCGGCGGAAGGGTTAGATGGGGCTGAATCGGATCGTGTTTTTCTTAGCTAAATAAGGAATGCTTGAAAAATGCTCGTTCTGTTGGTCGTAGTCAGTCCACTCTACATACCGTATTTGCACTGTATTTTGGGAGTAAAAATCTTTCCGCGGCTGGCCCGATAAATTACTCGTACTGTAATCGTGGTATGGATTAAGCATAACTTGGGTTAAGCTTTTTTGGGGTTAGCGCTGTGTATCATGGTATCATAACGTACCTGCTTAAAATGACGTCTGTTGTAAGGATCAGGTTTTATCTCCATCTCAACCCCGCCCCGCACTTTGTAATATAAAAATAGAGAAACCTCTGATCAAGAGTACGCTCGCTATGTTCAGAAGTACGTTCAATTCGCTAAAGCCTCTTATTAGGTGCCAATATCGAGCGATCGCCATGACGACAAATACATCCTTGTACAAGATGAACCATACCATGTACATTTCTCCTACTTTCCCTGTGTTGTATGCTGCAGCTGCTGATAGGGGGGTTTTCTAGGCTTCGGGTGAAAGATCCTAAGAGGAGCGGTCAGCACTGGTGCCTCTCTCCGTAATATACGGAATTCGGGCGCTGATAAAATACCGAATAGTGGAATACTACCAAAACAACTTTGGCATGAAGCTCATACGCAAGCTGGACTTTGAAGAGGTCAAGTTTTCCCTCTACTTCCTCGCCTTCGATAGCCCGGGCGCGGAGAGCGCTGGCAGGCAGTGGACGGATCGGGAGGGGCTTTTGGAGCTTACACATAATTGTAACGTTCTATTCTGGGGTTTCTGAGGTTGCGCTTGGGGGGCTGGCTGACTGGTGGCTGATGGTGGAATAGATGGGACGGAGGATGACGACAATTACAAAGTCAATAATGGGAATGTGGAGCCACATAAAGATATGTTTTCTCCCTTATTGATTGCTTGATTTGGTTGGTTGACTGGTGTTTGGGTGTAAGGTTCGGACATATGTAAGCTTCGCGCACCTTGCCCAAGTCTTGGTGTGCGGTTGAGCTAACTCAACGGACAGCTGCATCTCCGTCGACCACATCGAGAAAGCTTGCGAGAGACTCGAATCTAACAACATCCCCTTCCAAAAACGGCTCTCGGACGGGGGCATGAAGCATATTGCCTTCGCGCTGGACCCGGACGGGTACTGGGTCGAGATCATTGGCCAAAAGCGATCTGACCCCTCATCTACCTTCACCAAGCTGGACGTCTACCGCTTCAACCACACGATGCTCCGGGTGAAGGACGTGGAAAAGTCCATGCAATTCTACCGTTCTGTGCTGGGGATGTGTCTCCTTAGGACGATCGAGCAGCCCAAGGCTGGATTCAATCTTTACTTTTTGGGCTATAGGCGGGAAGGAGAGGAGGGGGGTCATACGGGCGAGGGGAATCCCTTGGCGGATAGGGAGGGGCTTGTGGAGCTTACATGGAATTATGGCACCGAGAAGGAGGAGGGGTTCAAGTATCATAATGGGAATGAGGAACCGCAAGGGTTTGGGGTTTGTTCTCCCTTTTTGCCGTTTGTCGGGGGGGCAGGGATGAGGGCTAAAGTGAGAGGCAGCATATTTGCATCTCTGTTGACGACCTCGACGCCGCCTGCTCTAGATTCGAAGACTTGAGAGTGAATTGGAAGAAAAGACTTACGGACGGGAGGATGAAGAACGTGGCGTTTATTCTGGATCCGGATGACTATTGGATCGAGTAAGTCTCCTTCTCCCTCCTAAGTCCGGTTTTACTGATCAGCCCACAGAGTCATCCAAAACGAAGGCATCAAATCCAGAGCGTCTTGGTAAGTCTAGTCGCGGGGTGCCCTTACTCAATCAATCGGTTCTTGTGTTAGCTAGTTGATCAGTTGGTCGATTATGGCAGTGAGATTGATATGCCATGATGTTTCCTCTCCAAGCCGTCGTCAGAAAGGGGTTTAGAATTGCGTTCATGTCTCGGAAAGGGGACTGGCTGCTCACTTCTGGCATTCGCGCACTTGGGCCGTAGATCCTTTCACCTACCGGGGTGCACTAGTTATTTAAGTACTGGTAACTTTGGTGATCGAGTGAGATTCTGTGACCCTTATTGCCTTGCAGGAGCCCAGCAGGTGCGATTGTCTATATCGTATCATAGTAAGGTAGCCGGGGCTTGAGGGAAAAGCATGTGTGACTCGCGAGAGTTCGTTCATAACTCACTCACACGGTGCTTAGACTGTATAGATACGTTTTCACAATCAAAAATCCTATTAAGGGGCGGGGGGAAACTCTGGGGGTTTCCGGCATCTGCTGTCACAGCATTTCTACTTGTAGTCTACCACTCTGGTTGAATAATATTATACACCCCTGCCCCCCCCCCCGCTCCACCCATCCATCCGTTAATAACCCGCACACGCTCGCGATATTGTCAAAAAAAAAAATTGGAGCAAACCCCACGGCTAACTCAGCATGTGAGGAATACTCTAGAATTCCGCATTGAGATAAAAATCGCCTCTACGGGGCTAGCAATCCAGGACCGCTATTTAGCTGTATTATAGTGGGGTTGGTGAGCACTTTACCGCTGACACCGATGATGATTGGCGGAGGCTCGGGGGCCATAATCGATGTTGGTATAAATATAATAATATTATGGAAGTACGGTATGCATACATGGAAAGGGGGGAAAGCACGAGGCGCGGTGCCCTTAGTGCGGCCCGGTATCATAAGAAGTTTGGAAATAACTTGTGGCACAGTTGGGAAATCCATGGTGTATGTATTCGTGACATGATGAGGGGGAGCTATGACTTGGGAGGTTTTTTTTTTTTTTTTTGGTATGATATTTTTGGGGGGAAAGGATTCGATCGAAACTTTCTCGGCCGATTGATTGGGTGATAGGTTTGGAAGGGTGGGAATTTTTTTATATTTTTATTATAACTTCGTGGAGGTGCTATGATAGTGCTGTATTCTTTTTGTGACCGAGCATGTCAAGTTCGTTTACATGTGTCTTCGTGTTTCCGTCTATGGTTTCTAAGAAATGTCGCCTTTCACATTGCTCCTCTGCCCAGTTCGACAGGTCGGGGTCGAACCACCCTTTCTCTGGTTGAGGAGGGGGTATGGTACGGTCTTGGAAAATTTCCAGGGTGTGATATGACAAGTTAAGTTGAGAGGAGAAGAATCTACTCTGGTCATATGTGATCACTCGAGTGTAGGGTGGGGGGGAGTTTTTCGTATAGTGCTTAAGCCACAACCATCATAGCGTCCTACGAGTGCCGCCGATAAATAAATAAATTCCTCACGTGCCTTATCCAAGGACCCACCGCAGCCAAAAAGGCGCACCGAAATTTTCCTATCAGACTCACGTGAGGAAAATATCTATGCTGCAAATGGACCCAAACCGGGTCCAAATAGGTCAAATGTGATTCCTAATTAGTCAACCACAACAAGAAAGACTTTGTAAAAATAAAAAGCGCCAGGTTGAAGCTAATTCCATGGAGAACAGGGTAGCGGGGGGGTTTAAAAAAAATTAAAGGCTGTAAGTTATTAAGGATGAAAAAGTGAAAATTTTGGTGAGAGTGAAATAAGTGATACAATCTACATGGTGCTGTGCTAAAATATACAGTACTGTGGAGTGGATATGAGTAGGGTCGAATAATAAAAAACTATGATATGAGCTGAAGACAAAAGGCTAGCATAAGGTTATGGAACGGTTATTTCGGGTTAACTTGTGAAATTTATTCCTGTCTATCTTGGTTAAGGAGTTTCCTATCCTTATACCCTATTTCTATACTTTGTTTCAGGGTATAGAACTTGGGCATTTCTTGTCATTACCCGGATCGGTTTGCAAGGGGTTTCATCGGAGGTCCCGCCTTTAGATGCTTTGCACCATACCGGTATTGGCCGCACTCGTAGAGCTGCCCGTGCCGCTTCAACTTCCGGGAGATCACCGGTAACTTTGTTCGGCGGTGCTCCGGGCTGAGTGGCGAGGCTCTCCACCGGGACGGGATGCCCCTTCTCGGGATACGATATGATGTCATACCTCGAGAGCGGAAACCCTGGACCTGGACCCTGGAGAATCGAATCGATGTGGAGGGTGCGTATGATACAATAGGAGAATAATTATATGGTTCGGGATAGACGCGTACCTGGTGCCGGACATTTGGGGGCTTTTCGTCGTATGATGTAGTCAACGAGGCGGAGGAGGGGTGTTGTTTCTTAACTTGGCACGTGTTTTTTTTTCTTCTTCTTCTCCTTCCCCCACCCCCTCCCTTCCAGTCGTATCTTACAGCGGTCAGTAAGTAAGTGATTTATGGACTTTGCTCGTTCCTTTTCCTTGGGGTGGGGGTTTCTTCTGGGTTGGTTTGGTACAACCATAGGAATAATATTTACCAGCGTCATATATAATCCGGCGGGAACTTTTTTAACATGAGATTTGACTTGGATGGTTCTCTTTGTTTTTTTTTGTTTTTTTTCAGTGCCTTTGAGTTTCTTTGGTGGGGTTTATGGCAGGTGTGATTAGTGATTATGAAGGTGTATTTTATTTTATTTTATTGAAAGCTCGGGAGTATGATATGATGTGGTATGATATGATATGGTATGATCTCACTTGCCCGATGACCGATCGATCGGCCCTCGGTTGTTCCTGATAAAAAAACATTCTTTTATTTAATACGGAAGGAAAAAAAAAAGTTGTCTGCTGGAAGGTAAACTTCTGTAGCTTCCCTGCCCCCGATTTATTGGCCGATATATCTTTAGTTTGTATCGAGGGTGCTTGGTAGATGGATGCCTATAAGGCGGGATGCTTTTGGTGCGAAATGGGGAAGGATGCATAGTACTGTCTTAGTACACGAGTGAGAGATTGTGATCTCGATCTGCTTCCGAGCGAGGCCAATGGGGGGTGTGGGTGTGGAGACGTGTGTGTCTATGGTGGTGGTGTAATTGGGTAAGGGAAATTTTAAGAGGGCGAGGGAGGGGGGGCTGTGATTGACCTGGAGTCCGGCACAGCAATATGTTGAATAACCATTTCTGCCAGTCAAAATTTGTTATTATCATTACCGTCATTGACATTATTGAAAAGCATGTTTGGGGGGGGGTAAGGCGAAGGGCATGATACCCGCGACAGGCGAGAAGTTACCATACTCGTACGAGTACGAGTAATTACAGTATCGTACCCGATAACTTGACAGGGATTTGCATAATATATGGCCAAAAAATCCGGGCGTGTCTGAGCCCCCCCCCACAGAGATTCGCCACCCTTATTTATCGAGTGCTTTTTGCCTGTTACTATTACGGGTACTGTATTGGGGAAAGCAGGGATGTAGTAACGTGCTGGTGTAGAGGTTCCTTGATTCGGATAGTTTGGACCACAAGGATATCCGGAAGGGAAAATGGTAACCGCCTACGGAGTGATGGCCAAGCCAATAAAATGGGCACATTTTTATTCTTCGCACTTCTATTCTTCGCACTGATGTTTGAATGTTCCGATACTCCCCACCCCCCCCCCATCCGGGTATAGTTTCCCCATTCCTTTGACGGGTGACACCCTCGTGAGATCGTCGACATCTCCTGGGTTGGTATCGTAAGACGTTGGGGATTTACAGGTGGCGCCACCCCTGTCAACGTTTGAGGCGGGGGGTTGATGGGCCACTTTTCGCCGAAAACCGGGATTCAGAGATATGTGGGCTTCAGGGAATCACTGAAAACTAGCTACCGGTATCTGACTACGTTTATGATACGCCGGTGATCACTGGGGAGTGCCCGTACTGAGGTGGAGACTAGGGATTACTGGTGCTAGGGTACCTTAGCTATCTATCATATGTCTTGGAAACGAACAGGGGCTGCGCGAAATTTTGGATGTCTCGCAGGTTCGGAGATACCGGTAGCCCGCCCGTCCGCTCGGACATCATCGGTGCGGTCCGCCGGTTCGTGCACTACCGTACTGTAACAATAACCCTTGCTCCCGTCCCACACTGCTCGTTTACCGTACAAGTATCCATGTTTCTCGCTCCTCCTTCTCACTACCCGTACTCGAGTATCCGTCCAAACCCCTTTGTCTTAAAATTCCCGACATCAGCCACCTACCCCGCCAAACCCGAATTATCCGCCCTATAAAGCGCTTTGGTCTAACTATGGGAGAGGAGGGATATTATGAGAATGCTTACTAACCTGGGCGTCGACAGGGATTGCCATCGGGGGCTTCACTTAGCTCGCGTTTTTTCCTCCTCTATTGTCAAAGGATTGGATATTGGAGTCACGCGAGCTGTCGAGCGCGTCCGATTGCTAATATAGGTGAATCTTAAAGATGAGTAGAAATAGAGTGATAAGAAATTGTTCGGTGTGTGGTTATTGATATCCCCCCGCCCTCGTCTGCCGGTTCTGTGCTTATTCAGCAGGCTGAGAGTAGGGGAATTAGGGAACGGAGGGTAAAGGGAGGCTGTAGCGTGGGTTTTGTAATGCTAGTTGTTACTAGTATTGTGTGCTGGCTGGGAGGACCTTGCGGGCAATAGTTTTTTCTATCGTCACCTTGCACGGCCATACCTAGCCGGACTATGGGGGAAAGAATAATGTAGCTGGAGTTTAACATTGTATTTTTTCCCGAGTTTAGTGGCTAGTGTTGGATGGTGAGGTGATGTCGGCTTTGTAGTTGTTTGGTTCGTGACATGGCTGGTAGTGAGGGATAGGGTACTGAGTTTGGAAGTGATACAGTATATGATGAGTGTTCAATCCCGGTGGGAAAGAGTTTCACTTGACCGGCCGCTTTCTTAGTGGGATGTCCTGCTGAACAAGTGAAGACCGGCTCGTCCCCGGCTGGCAAGTGAAATAAGATAGTTCTAGAAGTTCGGGAATTTGGGCTAAGCAGCCTTAAGCCCAGTTGGTAAATATAGAGAGAAGGGTATCCTGTAAGAAGACAGCCGAAGCCGTCCGCACGCGGGGTCGGGTATGATAGGTACAAAATCTGCGGCACTGATGTTTGGCCCCAACGGGGATACCTTCGGGGTGTAGTAAACGCACCTCTATAATTATTCCCCCCCTTTCCCCGGACAGGGACACTTTAGGGGGGTGAATCAACTAGTTGTCGAGAGGACGATTTCAACATGAAGGGAGAATGCCCTAGCGTGCCTCGCGGGATTGGCAGGGTGGGGTTTGTGGGGATACTGGTATGGACGTGCGTTCAGGCCCCCCGCAGGTATGCCAAGCAAAGCCTTTCCGCCAGATCTCGAATACGTTACCGAATCCCGAGTGATAGGCTGGTGACTAAGGTGGTGAATCTCACGCCAACTTCAGATAAGGAAACGTCGGTAACATTTATCCCATAATACTATAGTCTAAACAATTTCCTGTCCCTTTCTCGGTAGGTGTAAGGAAGCAAAAGACTGCAAGGAAAAAAAGAAAGTCTACGTGCGTCTCATGCTTCAGCGGGGGGCGAAAATACGATAGGGTTGGAATGGCGAAAACTGGGCATGAGTGTATTTTTGCCCCCCGCTGTGACATAAATCCGGTAGCTCCACTCATTGCCTTGTTATGTCTAACCCCTCCCCCCCCGGCCGCAGAACCTTTTCCACTATGAAGATACGATCAGTGCCCAGGACTCATCTTTCCCAATCCCAGGCTCAAGAATCTTGGGTATTTCGATAAAGTAAGTCTCTACTACAGGACTAGGCGATGGTGGTAGAGCTATATGCTCCCTTTCATCCAGTTTGACCCAGTCGGGATCCTCCTCCGGCAAGTCCTGGTAGACGCTGTTTTGGCTGCATTCACTTCTTGAACTGGCTGGGTCGTCGTCATCGGGGTCCTGACAAAGTTAGGAGAGTTTTGGCGCGTTATGTAAAATGAAGGTTGGGGGTAATTTACCAAGTGCTCCATGCCTTCGGACATGGCTGGGTTCATATCCTCATGAGTGGGTTTCTGGGGCTCGATGCACTGATTTGGGCATCCGAAGAGCTCTTGCCAGGGTGTCCCGTCCTCGTAGTGCTCACGCATTTTCCACCAGAGCACCTTCTCAAACAGTTCGATATCTCTCGGGTGCACCGGCTGAAAGGTGGCGTTCGCTTCTATCTCCTCACACCCCGAGTGGCATGTACTCTTCCACCATGGGCCTCGCCGCCACGTCTGGAAATACTCTTCATCCCACAATCCATACGTCTGTGCGATCCCCCTCATCATCCAAAACGCCTCCTCCTCCTCCTCGTACCTCTCCAGATCCTCCAACAGCGCCTCGCCCAGTGGCCTCCCTTGGAACCCTCCGTCTATCTGAAACATTATCGCATCGCTCACCAACCTATCGTACAGCTCGTTCTCTGCATCGAGCTGATTACACCGACTCCCGAATATTTCGTAGAACTGCATCGTGTAGAACTCCCACTCCTCGATTTCGGATCTTTCGAAGTCTTCTAGCATACGCTCGACTCGGGGATCGGTGGGGCGGAAATCATAGCCTGGATAGCTGTATTGAGCATATTCACCGACTGACCCGCCTGGGATGTAAGTTTCGCCCGACATGCCCCGGGTGGCTGTTATGTTGCTGATGGCTTCGGCGAGGCCTGGGCAAGCTTCTCCTTGGGTAGTGGGCGATAGAAGGAGTTCTGGCCCGGGGGTGTTTATTGTCCGAGGGTGTTCGAACGGCCTGGGGAGGTAGACTCTGTTGCTGGTAGTGTGGATATGTGAGTTTTGTGAGACGAGGTGTTGGGCGTGTTTGAAGGATTCAAATAGCTAGTCTGTTTAGAAAGCTTAGCCTTCGGCTAGCTTAAAGAGGAGGTCAGATGGAATCATACCTGTTGACCAGCCAAAACACAGCACGGGAGTTGTGTATCCTCGAGATAAGAGATAATTTAGGAAGAACTGGGGCTGTCTTTTTTATGGGGTGGGAAATCAGGAACTCAGCGCCAACGAGGTGAGGTTGAAATAAGGCGAGGCAGGGGTGCACACATATAAATAGCTCGTCAGGGTAATCGAAAGGCTAAGTGAGTGCGGGGGGAAGTATCTACTGGATACAGCTCAGGAACGTAACACAGGACATACCTTGGGCATTGGGAGATCATTGGCTCCAGACCACTCGCTGCGCACAACATATCAGGCTTAAAAAGGTCTGGCAGCAAGTTTTGTCGTTCCTGTTTTACTCGAGTTAGGAGAGGTTGGACCCACTGTGTTCTTTGTCTTTAGTGATAAGAGAGGGGATGGGTGTGTGGTACGGCTGTATCATACCGGTACTGGTGTTGTCCGGGTCAGCTTGTGTTATCCGAGTTTTGTACCGGTACGGCAGGAGCCTCTCACCAAAAGTCATGAGTAGGTTAACATTTTACACCAAAAATGGGCAATTCTATATCCGGAAATATTTGATAATACTACTTTGGCTAGTTCCGTCTTGTTTTTGGGTGAACCTTAAAAGTGAGTGGGCACATGCAATTTACCGCAAAAATAGCAGATTTCACACCAAGAGATTCCACTGGAGAAAACTCACAAAGATACAAATTGTCCGCAGGGTTACTGAAAACGGTAACAATATCATTTCCTGTATACGGATTTCCATCCAATTCCTGACTTTACAAAAGTAGGATGTATCATAATTGGACTTTCAAATTGAGCCACGACATAGCTTTCCCACTGGAAAAATAGTCTTGGCGCAAGTTTTGAGGGAAGTTTTGTTCCCTACAGCTACTACACTTCAGGGAATTTTAAGTTCATTTAGGGTTACAATTGAAGTCAGTGGTCTACACCTTTTCTGAACACTCTATAAAGTTAAACCATTTTTATTATGGGTGTTGGTACTGGAATATGTATTTGGAGTTGGCTGTTTTTGGTGTAACCTACGATTTGCCCACTCACTTTTTCGGTCCCGCTTGTACAGTACAAGCATCCTAACAACTGCCATGGTTTGGTTACCATCGCGTCTCGGGGCACAGCGGTTTTTCGGTAGAAGGCCAGCCACGCACTGTGACTTATCTTACATATATGGAGTCTGTTTCTCGGGGGATTCTTAACTGAATTGGGCTCTGTGGGGCAACGAAAATCGGCAAGGTTCCCGCCTCGTACTTGCTAGCTCCCTAGGCCCTGGCTAGGATTTTCTGCCGTGCCCGGCAATGGGGTGTAATAGCGAACGCGCGTTTCGAGTACCGGTACAGGCATGAGAAGTGTGATATACCAACCCAAATGCTTTTTCGTTGGACAACTTTTTTTTACCCCAGATTAGGCCAAGGACTGACATTTTCGGAAGAACAACCACAAACATTGCCTTGTTGAGAAAAATGGAATTTGCCACCAGCTAGAGGGTCTCTTTGGGATCGTTCACCTAGAAGCACAACCGGCCGAAAAAAAAAAGAATCCCCCCTATTCTCTACAATTGCTGAACTGGCGCAGGGGTGACCCCGGATTTTGAATGGGGCTCCGTGCGAAGGGGTACGTCGTGACCGGGTACCCCCAATTTCTCCACGGCTTCATAATTTTTCTGAACTCTGCAATGTCCTTCGTACTACCTGCGCGCTTAGTAATACATTCTAAAGTTTTGGCGAATTTTCATAGGCATTGGTACTCTAAGAGTGGGGGGCTGAAGGGTGGTGTAATTGGGGTAAAAAGGGCATCTAACCAGGATCGCTCGAGTATTGATCTGGTATCATACTTTAGGATATCTATGCTATGGCTAAGACCATTTTTTTACCCGTTTCTAAAGTTTTCCGCCCCGTTAAGGTATGATGCAGGCCGGTTGGAAGATGGAAGGGAGAATTTTGTGTTCAGGAGAGCTTGGGCAATTTCAGGTGCCCAAGCTACGCACAGTATACCCAGATTTTGTCCTAATGCGGAGGCCCTTTTTGTGATTAGTTCTGTAAGTTCGGGTTTAGCGGTTCTGCAAATCGGATTTCAATTTCATGGCAACAAAATGCCAAAGCGTCCTGTCGACAGAGTGGTGGCCTATTTTCAGGAGCTTCGGGTATCCGGAACCTTTATCCTAGGGTCTTGTCAGCATATCGGTTTCTGTTTTGGAGAGCAAGGATGATAGGTTTACCTAAATCAGATGTTTTTGGCGGGGCTGGTCATTTACCCATGTGATCATTTGTAGCTGTATCATAGGCGAAGCACGTTGCATGCCAGTCGGCTAAGGGCCCTTTGACCTATGGACGGCCGTCAAGGAGGACTTGACGGCTGTAGTCATGTAGGGCGGACGGATGGTGTTTTTTTCTAGAGTGCCGTCTAGAATGTTCGGTGGCGCTTGCAACCGCACCTCTGGAGCAATGTTACGTTTTTTGACTGTCTGGAAACATGAATTCGGGGCAGTCGAATTTGAGCTGTACTCAGCTCGGGTACCTGTATCTTAACTGGTAGAACTCCTGTTAAAAATTTGAGTATCTGCACGTTCTTGAGCATGCTGAACGTTTTGAGGCACTTGGGGGGCTTTGGGGCTGGTCACTTATACCACTGAAAGCTATTGCATTAAGCTTGGATGGGTAAACACAGATTACGATAGCGGGTATTTGTACCGATTTGGAGAACACTGAGGGTTAGTGGTTGGAACTCCTGACAATATTTGGGGTGTAGGAAAAGCCAGCCCCAGGCTACACATTCAGATAACCTAACATTCAAGAGGTCTCCAATCTCTCTTTCTCACTCTGTCGATACTGTGACCGGTCACGCATTGACTCTCACCTAGAACGAACCGATTGTCCGGGAATATTCCTAGGGCATAGTGAGGTGGTATTCAGGTTCCAGTGCTGGGAAAAACATTGCATAATTAACAAATATGAACTAAGATATGTATACATTACAGCCGAGTTATTGTCTGGGCCGCTCTGCTTTCTCCCCAAAACTTATCAGGCTAGAACGGAAATCAAGAAATCCCATGTCTATCTAGGCGTCGGGGGGAGATTAAGGGATGTGGGTAATGAACTGGCTCAAGTCTTTTGAATCGTTCCCTCAATCTATTTCGTCAGTTAGTGTCGTAATGCAATGGCATGGGGAATGACCCACCTGTGAGCGCTTTTCCCTTTTTTCCGTAAACGGGAATATGCGGTGGAATTTCATCTAAGATGTTAGACAGAAAATTTTAGCCGTGTTGGGGTGGATGGAGATACTAGGAAATCATAGGGGCGAAGGTTGGGAAGTTGTATGAGTTTCCACTTACAAAATATACAAGCACCCCAGGTTCTATGACTAGGGAGAGCGTGTATCTTTATGGCAGCGTCTAAGAGACTACAGGCTCGGGCCTTCTTAGTTCTGATGATTCTCCCACTTGCGGCATCCTGCCCTCCGCCCCCGGGATACAATCTCGGCCGTATGCGAATGTAGTAACACGAGTGGTAGCAAAGTGGGCGTTGGGATAGTAAATGAAGACAGGGCTGGGGATAGGAATCTCTTCAATTGGGATGGCGCTTAGGTCCTCCATGGTTGTAATAGTTCTCGGCCTAGAGTTTGGGAGGGTAGTGTCGGGGGCTTTCTGTGTAGGATTGCAAGATTAAGAATGTATATATGAATATGTATAAGGAGGATAGGGGGGTGGGTTTACTTTGACTGGGGGCGAAATTGAGAACGAGGACACCCAGAGACGGAATCGCGAGGATCGGAAGAGAGGCACAACTGCAACAAGTAAAGTAAGGGCAGCTATAACAATTGCCAATATCTCTCCGGGACGTATGTCGTTGCTGTTATGTTCTTGGCTTTTTGATTGATCACGTTTGTCAAACTGTAATTGCTGGGCTTCAAGAGCAGGCATGACGGCGCAGTCTCGCAGCAAAAGTCCGCAGTCAATCGTAGGCTGGTATGTCGATAAGCTCGCTGTTAAGGGGGGGGCCCGCTCGGTTATAGTCGGGCTTCAGCAAGTAGCAATAAACCTGTCTGTCATAATAGAAAGAAAATAAAAGAATTTATGGACCGGGGAGAACCTATATAATATATAGAACTGCCCGAACCATAATTTCGAAGCGCACAACCTTTTAGGAATGCGTCGATGGCTGTGGCAACATTGAACTGCGGGTTCTGCTGGCAACTACTGCTCGACTTGGGGTGCGGAGCTAGAAGCCGAAAAACTTGGGACCTGTTTGGATATTACCGTTCCGTTCCGTGTCCACATACAAATACTGTTACTCTTCCGCTCTGCAACGATCATTTTGCGTGGCAAAATGGAGCGGAACCGTTGTATTCAAACAGGCCCTTGGACACCTCATTCACCTCTCACCATAATATCTTTGGACCTGGTATAGTTGGGTCTCTGATTGGCCCCCTGCTACTGCCGAGAAATGGGTAACGAAGTTGGGGGGCTACAATTTCTCCACTCAGTATTATCGGCATACTATCGCTATTTGACTTCTGGAGCCATGCTGCGGAGGGTTCCAGAGCAGGGCATCGAGTCTTTTTCACTTCAGATCTCACTGTATAACTCGATGTAATTGTAGTACTTGCCCCAGACATGCGGTATGGGTACCATACTTGAGAACCTGGGGAGGATAGGGGTTTGGAGATCCCCACAAACTCTACCCTCAGTCGAGGCGAAAAAAAAAGTCCAGCCCCGTGTTACGAAAGACGGTTATAATTTCTCAATCATAGGAGGCAAAAAGTACAGTACCGGTATTCGACAATAGGGGTCGTAGATTTCTATGGGGCTTAGACATGCACGGATCTTTTGCCGTGTACAAGTATTATGCAAATCCCTGTTATCGGGTGCTCTTTGCCTGGTTCGAGTGAGACATATCTCCAGTATACTGTTATGTGGCCAACCACAGTCAATCCGCGCTTTCGGCTTGCCGCCAGGGGCTGTGCACCGTATTGGAAGTTGGCGGCCGTGCTCCGCGGGTAGGGGACCGGTAGGGGTGTAAGGAGAGGGTGCAACTCCTCTCCAAACTGGATGCATGGGGCCTGTTTACCAAGCTAAGTTAGGCGTGTATCGGTTCAGAGTCTGCCATTGTGCCAGAGACCTCTCTGCCAACAGGAGTCTAGCTATACCGCAGATGATGGCATGGGATATACTTTTTCCTCCCCTCGGGTGCCTTCCTAGGGTGCCTTCCGAGAGCACTCTCCTACTCGCGTACTTTCTACTAAACAGTAAT